GAATGCTTTTATACTGTTGGTGGGAGTGTACATTAGTTCAACCATTGTGGAAGACAGTGTGGTGATTCCTCAAGGATCTAAAACCATAAATACCATTCGACCCAGCAATCCCATTATTCGGTATATACCCAAGGGATTATAAATCATTCTACTATAAAGACACGGGCACACGTATGTTTATTGCAGCACTATTTACAATAGCAAAGACTTGGAACCAACCCAAATGCCCATCAATGATAGACTGGATAAAGGAAATGTGGCACATATACACCGTGGAATACTCTGCAGTCATAAAAAAGAATGAGTTCATGTCTTTTGCAGAGACGTGGATGAAACTGGAAACCATCATCTTCAGCAAACTAATGCAGGAACAGAAAACCAAACACCACATATTCTCACCTATAAGTGGGATTTGAACAGTAAGAACACATGGACACAGGGAGGGGAATATCACACACCGGGGCCTGTCAGGGGGTGGGGAGTCAGAGGAGGGAGAGCATTAGGAAAAATACCTAATGCATGTTGGGCTTAAAACTTAGATGACGGGTTGATAGGTGTGGCAAACCACCATGGCACATGAATACCTCTGTAACAAACCTGAGCATTCTGCACATGTATCCCAGAACTTAAAATAAAATAAAATAAAATAAAATGTTTCCCTTCTTTATTTCAAAGTTACAAAGTTCGCTAATCCTTCAATATTTTCAGACTCTGATCTCTCAATTATATCCCCCCTTTTTTTTTCTTTTGAGACAGTCACTCTGTCACCTAGGCTACAGTGCAGTAGCACGATCTTGGCTCACTGCAACCTCTACCTCCGAGGTTCAAGCAATTCTTCTGCCTCAGCCTCTTGAGTAGCAGGGATTACAGGTGTATGCCACCATGTCTGGCTAATTTTTTTTGAATTTTTAGTAGCAACAGGGTTTCACCATCTTGGCCAGGCTGGTCTCAAACTCCTGACCTCATGATCCAACAGCCTCAGCCTCCCAAAGTGCTGGGATTACAGGCGTGAGCCACCACGCCCAATTATTGCCCCTTTCTAAAAGTATCTTGAGTAGTTCCCTCTCAGTTTATTCCTTCTTCTCTACCTTCAAATGTCCCCATCTCCTCACATTGAAAAAAAAATCAACTAACCCCACTATGCTTCAAGCTTGCATCCCATTTCTCCTCTTCCTTTCATCAACGAACTTCTTGAATTGAAAAGTCTACTACCTCTATTGTCTTGCTACTCACTAATCTCCTTAATTGCCCTCAATCTGTTTTGCATCCTTACCACTTTACTAAAACTGGACTCCTAAAGATCACCTTCCTTAACTTCATAGCAACATTTCGTAATGGTCATAGCCTTTTTGAAAAACATTACTCCCTTGGAGCTTCAGACCAGCCTGAGCAACATGGCAAAATCCCTATCTACAAACAATACAAAAATTAGTGGGGTGTGGTGGTGAATGCCTGCAGTCCCAGCTACTTGGGAAGCTGAGGTAGGAGGTTTACCTGAACCCAAGAGGCAGGGGTTGCAGTGAGTCAATATTGCACCACTGCACTCCAACCTGGTGACAGAGCCAGATCCTGTCTCAAAAAAAAAAAAAAAAAAAAAAAAAAGCTCAGCCTGAAATATCCTCGTCCTTGTGTGGGAAATATCTTAGTCTTAGATCTGTCTGCTCGAATTCTCAAATTCGTAATCCTGATGTTTATAATTATCACCAATAAGCCTCAAAGCCAACGGCAGCTGAGGCTGAAACAGAATGACACTTCCATATAAAGATGTTTTATTTGCTGCTGTTGCTCCATCTTGTCTTCTCACCAGCCTGTTCTTTATCTCTCTATATTATAAACATCTTAGTTAGGTACTTGGTGACTGACACCTTTGAACATTCGCTTTACTCTGCTCTACCTGCCTGAAATTGAATTCATTTTAGATAAACACAGTGTTATACCCTCTGACATTTATAAATTTTTAAATGTATTGTTTATCTAGCTGTAAACTATTCCTTCCCAAATCCTCAAGCATAATGTACGACTGGTATCTTTGTTCTGGTATCTTACCTTTTCCCTTTCACTTGCTACGTACCATAACATGGTACAAGAAGCCTATAAGGAGAATCCATGCAATAAATGACTAACAAATCTCCTGTAGAATTTTTTGACTGTTCCTTTTGGTTCACCTATCCTTATTCTTTTTATTTAACTTTGAACCTGGTAGATTCAGAGTTAAAATCTCACTACTTTGTTCTTCTTTCAATAGCCCTGGTTCTTAAATTTTGGTGTGCATGAGAATTCTTGAGACATTTTTTCAAATTATAACCATGCCCAGATTTCATCCTGAACCTAAATGAATCAAAACCAACAATGGCAGGGCCTGGGCATCTCTATTTTTAACAGGCTTCATAGGCGATTCTGATTTTTGGGGGGGGTGGGGATGGAGTTTTGCTTTTGTTACCAAGCTGGAGTGCAATGGTGCGATTTCAGCTCACTGCAACCTTGAACCTCCTGGGTTCAAGCGATTCTCCTGCTTCAGCCTCCTGTGTAGCTGGGATTACAGGCATGCACCACCGGCTAACTTTTGTATTTTTAGTAAAAACTGGGTTTCACCATGTTGGCCAGGCTGGTCTTGAACTTCTGACTTCAGATGATCCACTTGCCTCGGCCTCCCAAAGTGCTGGAATTATAGGCGTGAGCCACCACGACCAGCCTGATTCTGATTTATATCAATATTTAAGAACCACTGCTCTTTATTTTTTCTTTATTTCTATTTTTTCCCTCAAAGAACTCAACTACTCTTCTGGCTTCAACTACCACCGCTGTGTAAAATAATAGCCAAATCTACAGGCTCAATACTTACCTTTCTCGTAAGCTCTAGTCTCCCATCTCCAACCTCACTGTCATCTCAAATGCAACAGGTCTAAAACTAAAACTTCTAAGTCATTCATCTACTTCTGACTTTCTTGTTCATCGTTCCATAATTCTTCCAAATAATAAAGAATTGTAGCTTATACATCTTCATGACTTATTTCACGACATAGTGTAATCCAGGCACACTAAATTTGTTTTTAAGGAAACAAAATATCCTCCAATAAACATATTTTTGAAATAAAATTATTTTAACTTGGAGGCCTCCTGCACTAACAACCTATTCTCCACTATACAAAAAAACAGTATGATACACGTAACAAGCACCCAAATATCTGATTAAGAACTGCTATGTGAAATGAGACACTACATGGGACTCTCTTCTTTTTTTTTTTTTTTTGAGACGGAGTTTCACTCTTGTTACCCAGGCTGGAGTGCAATGGCGCGATCTTGGCTCACCGCAGCCTCCGCCTCCCGGGTTCAGGCAATTCTCCTGCCTCAGCCTCCCGAGTAGCTGGGATTACAGGCACGTGCCACCATGCCCAGATAATTTTTTGTATTTTTAGTAGAGACGGGGTTTCCTCATGTTGACCAGGATGGTCTCGATTTCTTCACCTCGTGATCCACCCGCCTCGGCCTCCCAAAGTGCTGGGATTACAGGCTTGAGCCACCGCGCCCGGCCCGGGGCTCTCTTCTTTACTGTCTCTTGTCCCCTCTCATCCTTCCCTTTTCTTCTCTTATCTCTTGCCTCTCCCTCTTCATCTCTCCCCTCTTGCCTTTCTCCTCCTTGCTTCCCCCTTTTTTCTCTACTTTCCCCACTTTCCTTACCCATTTAGTATTTTTCCCTCTTACATGCCCCCCTTTTTGTTTTTAACATTCTCTTTTCTCTTCCCTAGCTCTCTCATCTCCCTGGCCCTAACCCTATCAATACTGTGTGGTTCTGCCCTTACCCCTTGTCTTCCCTAAAAAAAGAAAAAGAAATGAGACAGTACATGGGAAGAGGCTGCGATAGCCACTTCATCCACCATATCCCTATTTGATAAGCAGTAAACAGCTAAAGCAATATTCCTTCATATGCAGAAGGGTAGGAGTTAAGAATTAATGCACTTTAATATCACATGTTCACCTGTGTACTAAGGTTTCTTCCACTGATCAATTCCTAGCTCTTACCTCCCCATAACTACAGGATCAGGCTCCTGGGAGCAATGATATCAATTTATCTAAGACTTAAAGAGCTAGAACTGTTCTCTAAACATGCTAATAGAGTGGACTCATGAGTAAGTATATTATTGATTATATTAAGCACAATTACCCTATGTCTACATGGAAGTTGTGTACAGTTTTGTTTATATTCACAAAGATAAATAACAGTAAATTCTATTTCTTGCATACAGACAAAAGTCATTTGTCTTTACAACGTCAAGCAGTCCAGAGGTTCACCCTTTAGTTTGTTACTTCAATGTATCCTTTGTGGGCAAAATACTTCCCATAAATGCATTTGCTGTCACTATGCCTGTTGAAAATCAGTAACTGTCAGCACACTAAACTTTGCCCATTTAGCTAAAGAACTAGAACAGTGCCAGGCAGTGGACCACATTCAAAGCATCCAACAAGATGAGTTTACTTTGAAATTTTTGGGTTTTGTTGTTGTTTTCTCTCACAGGTAGCAAGAATTTCTATAGTTTTTCTCACTAACTCATTCCAATGTTTATCAATCCACCTCCCGAGGAAACTATTCTTTTAAAATCTAAATCTGTCACATGGCAACACTTATCATTCTATTATTAATAGAGGGGAAACTACTATTTGATGGTCCTTCAGAACCCTGAAGATTTTTATCATCTCCATGAGAAATAATCCATGTCCTTTAACATTTCCTTAAGTTCTCACTGTCCCACCTTTTAATCCTCTTTGCTGTTCACCTCCAGACTATTTCTTGTGGTGATACCCTTAAACTTTTGTTAATAAGGAGCTAACCTCTAAAAAATCATAAAACTGAGGGAGGCTATTTGTTTGAGAAACCAGTGTGTGTTGTCTTTTAACAAATCTCTATCTAAGAACTGGTCAAAATATTATGTAAACTGCAGGAACACTACTCAATATATAGTAAAAACACTCCTCATAATATGAGTCACAATATGTATACGTACTTTTAGTTTTCTGCTCTTCATTTATATGAAAACCTCCTCTCTTGGTAAGTGCCCAGTTCCATAGGTTTACTGCTATTTCTTCCACCTGGTCAAAGAGAAACATTTCCTTAGCTAGTTAAAATACTGTCCACCTCCAACGCTATTTTCGTTCTCGAATGTTGTATGCTTATGTAACTATTGTGGGTCATTTCCAGGCCGTCTATAATCTAGTCCCATTCTACCTCTCCCCACGAAAACTTACCCACTATTAGAATAATTATCTCACTATTTCCTGAACAAAATTTGTTCATTCCTATCAATGTGTCTTTATTCATACTACTGGCTTCACCTGATATACCTCCTCCCTTTGTTTTTATGTAACTCAAATCCATTTCAGTCTTACCAACAACATAAATGAAGCTTTCAGCAACCATTACAGTCTACATTGATTTTTCTTCTTTGAATTCCTATATTTATTAAGTTGTATACAATTTGGCAATTAATTATATTACTTTGTATCATTTATTCTTTAATTGTTTTAGTTTTTAGTTTTTGGGGGTTTTTTGGTTTTTGAGACAGAGTCTTGTTCTGTCGCCCAGGCTAGCGTGAAATGACTTGATCTCGGCTCACTGCAACCTCTGCCTCCTAGGTTCAAGCAATTCTCCTGTCTCAGCCTCCCAAGCAGCTGGGATTACAGGCGCCTGCCACCACATGCAGCTAATTTTTTGCATTTTTAGTAGAGACAGGGTTTCACCATGTTGGCCAGGCTGGTCTCGAACTCCTGACCTCAGGTGATCCACCTGCTTTGGCACCCCAAAGTGCTGGGATTACAGGCATGAGCTACTGCACCCAGCCATGTTTTAGTTCTTAGTCTCACTTCCTAACTAGATTCCTTGATATCATACATCATTTCTTATACAACTGATGTAGCACTTATAGTACTGATTTGTTATTTTGTTATTTTTTGTTCTGCGGACTAGGAGGAAGTTTGTTTCTTTAGGGGCTTATCTTTCTGTTAGGTAGAAACTAGTCAACTGGATACAAAACTAAATTAAGCTCACAGTGTCTCAAGAAAAAATGAAAACACAAAACAGCAATTGGGGATAGGTTGGTTTCTAGGAAGAGATCTCTGAAGGCAATAAGCGGTTCTAGATAGTACTATTGGCCTGAGACCAATATGGCATAGCCCTGGCCTAAATCTCCCAGTATGCTATGATGAGTATCATAGAAGCTATATGCCATTATCTTATAATAAATATATCAGTAGTAGTATATGACTAAGACCAAAAATAACTGGATACACCAAAATAATCTAATTTATGCACAGCAATAATACAAAATTATATGTCAGTTTTAAGTCTTTTCTTCCACACCATTTTTCTCACCTACGGTTCCACATTCTTCTGATGAACTTCAGTTTAAACAGATTATTTATTCAGCATGTAATATAGTTTGGATATTTTTCCCCTGGGAATCTCATATCAAAATTTGATCCCCCAATGTTGGAGGCAGGACTGATGGGAGATGCTTGGGTCACAGGGGTGGATCCCTCATTGTCTTAGTGCTGTCCTCACAGTAATGAGTGAACTCTCAGTCTGTTAGTTACTACCATATCTGATTCTTAAAAAGAAGAGCCTGGTACCTCCTCCTCTCTCTTTCCTCCTCTCTCATCATGTGATGCCTGTTCCCTTTCTCCTCCCACCATGACTGGAAACTTCTGAGTCCCTTACCAGAAGCAGATGCCATGCTTCTTATACGATCTGCAGAACCATGAGCCAAATAAACTTCCTTGATGGAATAGTATTCATCCATTTAAAATAGTGCTCATGACCAGACATGGTGGCTCATGCTTGTAATCCCAGCACTTTGGGAGGCCGAGGCAGGTGGATAGTTTGAGGTCAGGAGTTCGAGACCAGCCTGGCCAACATGGTAAAACCCCGTCTCTACTAAAGATATATTTTAAAAAAAAGCAGGGTGTGATGGTTCAAGCCTGTAATCCCAACTACTTGGGAGGCTGAAGCAGGAGAATTACTTTAACCTGAGAAACAGGCTGAAGTGAGCCGAGATCATACCACTTCACTCCAACCTGGGGGACAGAGCAAGACTCCGCCTCAAAAAAATAAAAATAAAAATAAAATAGTGGTCATGAAAACTATGTTTTTAACACCAGAATATACTTATTACATGTCTGATGAAAAAGGAAAGAAGGAAACATATAAAATTGTATGTACAAAAAATTGTACATACGTAAATCTTACCTCAAAAAAGAACTTTAATAAAATATTGGATTCTAGTTAATGATATGCACACTAAAACATTTAGGAGGGGAAATGTACTGTTCTCAGCAACTTACTTTAAAATGCACCCAAAAAATAAGATGGGTTGATGAACAAATGTATATGTGATAAAGCAAATATGGTAAAATGTTTACAACTGTAGAATGTAAGTGGCTGTTATACAGGTGTCCAGTGTAATATTCTTTGAACTTTTCTGTTTGAAAATGTTTATTTTAAAATGTTGGGAAAAAAGAGAAAATTGCCTTTTAAGATGCCAAGAATATTACATCTACATTATAATTACAGCTAAATAACATTTAAATAGTAAAACTATTAAAGAAAATACAGTAAAATAATAATAGTTATATTGAAGTGGTATGTTTGCATGTGATTTTTGTATCCATTTTTTAAAACTTTCTGTAAAGTTATGTTACTTTATGATTTTAAACAATGTTTTTGTATTTTCTCATATTGTATTAGAAAGGGCAAGATAAACTATGATTGTAAATACTTCATAATCCCAAAACACATATATACTCAACAAGTATGTATTAAGCACCTAAGATATGGCAGGTTTTGTCATAGGTTTATATAAATGTATAATGAAAAACATGGCAAATACGTGCTGCAAACAGAAGTAAATAATACAAAGATTAGACTTTCCAGAAAGAAAATAAATTCAAGGCATTTCCAAAACCAAGCAGATCTTCTTGAAAAATAAGGCCAAACTCTTGTGGCTCGTGACTGTAATCCTAACACTAGGCGGCCGAGGCGGGCAGATCACTTGAGCTCAGGAGTTCAAGACTAGCCTGGGCAACATGGAAAAACCCCGTATCTATGAAAAGTACAAAAAATTAGCTAGGCATGGTGGTGCATGCATACAGTCCCAGCTACTTGGAGGGCTGAGGCATGGGGATCACTTGATCCCCAGGAGGTCGAGGCTGCAATGAACCGAGATCAAGCAACTGCACGCCAGACCAAAACAGTCTAAAAAACAAAAAACAAAACCCAAACTGAACCTTATAATTTGTTTTCACTAACAGCTAAGTACAATAAGAAGAGTTTATGATCTAAAAAGAGATTTACGGCCAGGCACAGTGGCTCACTCCTGTAATCCCAGCACTTTGGGGGGCCATAGTGGGTGGATCTCTTGAGGTCAGGAGTTCGAGACCAAACTGGCCAACATGGCAAAACCACGTCTCTACTAAAAACACAAAAATTGGCTAGGTGTGGTTGTGTTTGCCTATAATCCCAGCTACTTAGGTGGCTGAGGCACGAGAGTCACTTGAACCCAGGAAGCAGACGTTGCAGTGAGCTGCCTGGGTGACAGAATATGGTTGTCTCAAAAAAAAAAAAAAAAAAAAAAAACCTCACTGAGATATCACCTCACAGTCACTAAGATGACTACTATCAATTAAAAAAAAAAAAAAACAGAACAAGTATTGGTGATAATGTGAAGAAACCGGTACCCTTGTTCACTATTGATAGAAATGTAAAATGGTACAGTTGCTATGAAAAACAGTATGCCAGTTCCTCAAAAAATTAAAAACAGATTTCCCATATGACACTGCCAATTCCAACTCTGGGTATATATCCAAAAAATTGAATGCAGGGATTTGAACAGAAATTTCCATACCAATGCTCATAGCAACATTATTCACAATAGGCAAAAGGTGGATGCAACCTGTGTCCATCAACAAGTGAATGGATAAACAAAATGTAGTATACACATACAATGGTTATTCAGTCTTACAAAGGAAGGAAATTCTGTTCTCTATTATAACATTTTTTTTTCCCCGGCGATGAGCAAGGTCAATACCACTTTTCCGCTCAGCTATAGGGGATGTGGTACAGAATGTCATGTTAGGAGGAAAGGGAAGAAACTTTTTTTTTCCAAGAAAAAAAAAGGAAAGAACAGAATTATTTTTATACTAACCTGAGTGTCTGACATTTCAGCCATAGACTCCCTGTTGATATTTGCTATGTCGTTGAAGAGTCTATCAATTGCCTCTGGTATGTTAGGTGAATTATCATTTGTAACCAGGTGTTCAGTAACTTCTGAAATAATAATAGATGATAAATGTGCTGTGAACTATTACCATTGGCTAAAAGTAGCAAATCATTTTTAAACTTATTCCTAAGCCATTGGCCAAATGAATATAGCCTGAAGAAACTTGATCCTTAGAGTAAAACCAAACTGGAGATTTAAATTTTCTTTAAGCCAGAGTATAGTTTTCAAATAAAATTTGCATTCTTTGGGGGTCACTTGTTTATAACTAAATCATTACTCATTCTCAGAAAGTAAAATGCATTGACTTCACAAACAGTAATATTATTAAGGTAATCTTAAAAGTACAAAACAGGCCAAGCTTGGTAGCACACGTCTGTAGTCCCAGCTACTCTAAAGGCTGAGTTGGGAGGATCACTTGAATCCAGGAGTCCAAGACTACAGTGAGCTATGATCCTGCAACTGTACTTCATTACTCCATCCAGCATGGGCTACAGTGAGCCCCTTTCTCTAAAACAAACAAACAAACAAAAAACCCCCTACAAAACCAAACTTAACAATGTCTTCAAAACTAGAAAATACAGAAATTCTGAAAGAAGATCCACATATGTGCCCTGAAAAACACTTACTAATGTTTTCAAGCATTAGACAGACACAGCTAACTGCTGGCTCTGAAGCCTTGACCTTACTTTGTGAGAAAAAAATGACATGCTCAATTAGCAACAACATTAACCAGCTATTGAATCTGCACAAATGATGTCACCATTTTCTAAGTGGTCTGAGCTCCAGACTCCATATAGCTGAATCTTACTAGACCATGTAATTCCTTAAAACCCAAGCATTAGCTGGGCATGATGTTCCACACCTATAGTACCAACTACTCAGGAGGCTGTGGCAGGAGGATCCCTTGAGCCCAGGAGTTTGAAACAGCCTGGGAAACACAGCAAGACACCACCTCAAAAAAAAAAAAAAAAAAAAAAAAAAAAAAAAAAAACCCTAAAACTAAAACTCGGCCAGGCGCAGTGGCTCATGCTTATAATCCCAGCACATTGGGAGGCTGAGGCAGGCAAATCACTTGAGACCAGAAATTCGAGACCAGCCTAGTCAACATGGCAAAACCCCATCTCGATTAAAAATATAAAAATTAGCTGGGCATGGTGGTGCCCACCTGTAATCCCAGCTACTGGGGTAGCTGAGGCACTAGAATCGCTTGAGCCTGGGATACTGAGGTTGCAGTTAGCTCAGATCGTGCCACTGAATCCCAGCTTGGGTGACAGAGCAAGACTCTGTCTAAAAAAAAAAACTAAAACTAAACAATAACCATGAAGTAGAATCACAATTGATGCCCTTCATATTATCAAAATTGAGGGTTTTTTCAAGCTCATAACAGAAATGTCCATAAGCTACATAGTTCTAATTTCTTGCAACATTCCTGAGCCTCAAATTAGCAAAAATGTTATTAATATTCATAACAGTACTATAAAAGCACCTTCCAAAAGATTTTTAAACTGCTAAAATAAACAGAATTTTTACCTGCTACAATAAACAACAAATCAGCTACAAAAATTTCAGTTAAACAAATGCTTGAGGTGATAGATAGCCTATTTACCCTGATGCGATCATTATACATTGTATGCCTGTATCAAAATCTCATGTATCCCATAAATATATACACTAACTATATACGTATACAAATAAAAATCTAATTAAACGTAAGACTACAGATTCAGATAGACTTCACAAAGCAAATTATGTTCAATTATGTTACAATACCACACATTTTAAACACTTTAGGTGAAAAAATATATATGAAAAGAAAAACGCAAAAATTATGCAAGCGTGGTAGTGCATGCCTGTAGTCCCAGCTACTCTGGAAGGTGAGACAGGAGAATCACTTGAACCCGGGAGGCAGAGGTTGCTGTGAGCCGAAATTGACCACTGCACTCCAGCCTGGGCAACAGAGTGAGACTCCATCTCAAAAATAAAAGAAAAAAAAACCTCTATCTTTCTTTCTCCCTTAAATTGTTTAATGGAAAGACTGATATTAAATATCCTGACTCTTCTAAGACTAGGCAAGTGTTGGGCTGAGGGGCATATATTTACATAGCCCTTGTTCAAAATATTGATAACAGAATCAGGGAGGTTTTAAAATTGATGTTTTTAAAAATACAAATATTGTTTAAAAACAGATTTTTAAAAATATTTTTGAAAAGAAAATCCCAATATAAATTTTTTTGTTTGTTTTGTTTTGTTTTTTAAGACAGAGTCTTTCTCTGTCACCTAGGCTGGAGTACAGTGGCCGATCTCGGCTCACTGCAACCTCGGCCTTCCAGGTTCAAGCAATTCCCCTGCCTCAGCCTCCCGAGTAGCTGGAACTATAGGCACATGCCACCAATATAAATTTTTAATTTGAGTTCCTTTAAAAAAAATCCTGGCTGGCCGTGATGACTCACGCCTATAATCCTGAGTTTGGGAGGCTGAGGCGGATGGATTCCTTGAGCTCAGGAGTTTGAGACCAGCCTGAGGAACATAGTGAGACTTCATCTCCACAAAAAAATATAAAAATTAGCTAGGCGTGGTGGCTCACTAGTTCCAGCTACTCCATGGCTGAGGTGTGAAGATCACTCCAGACCAAGAGGCAGAAGCTGCAGTTAAGCTGTGATCATGCCACAGCACTCCAACTGTGCAACAGAGCAAGACCTTGTCTTTCAAAAAAAAAAATCCTAAGATGTTATTGGAGAATACCATTTATAGTTTTTGGTTACATAGTTTATGAGACTATGAAGACATGTATTTTGATTTGTAAATGTTCTCTTAAGTGGTTAATGTTTTATTAACTCATTTTTGTATTAGTAATTCTGGTCCTTTCAAAACATATTTTCAGTGTTATTTGACTGAGCAACTTTGCTGACACCAGCTGAGGCAATAACAGCATTGCAGTCCTTTAGAAGAAAATTCAGTCAGCAAAGCTGGGTAAGTGGTAGAGATCACATAGCTGAAAGGCTGAGAGTTACACTATGAAGAAGAGATTTGCATCTGGAAGAACCTCAGAAAAGAAATTCTATTTTGCTTTTTGAGACAGAGTCTTGCTATGTTGCCCAGCCTGGCCTCAAACTCTCGGGATGGGAGTGATCCTACCATCTGAGTAGTTGGCATTACAGGTGCATGCCACTGCACCTGATGAAAAGAACTTCTATAAATGCAGTCTACAGCTGGGCAAAGTGTCTCATGCTTGTAATCCCAGCAATTTGAGAGGCCAAGGCAAGAGCATTGCTTGAGCCCAGGAGTTCGTGACTACCCTGGGCAACATAGGGAGACCCTCATCTCTACAAATAAATAAAATTAGCCAGCTTTGGTAGCCCACACTGTGGTCCCAGCTACTTGGGTGGTTAAGGTAGGAGGATCGCTTGAGCCTTGGAAGTTAAAGCTGCAGTGAGCTGTGATCATGCCATTGCACTCCAGCCTGAGCGACAGAGCAAGACTCTATCTCAAATACAAAATGAAGTCTACTCCCAAGATGAGAAAACAACAAACTGTATGAAGGTTTTATCAAGCAAGATTGTACATTTTGAGAAAAACTATTACGTTATCTTCCTGGCCACAGAAAGAAACTATGATTTACAACACGATTTCAGTCCATTTGATTTAAAATAAGATGCATCCTAGTTAAAACTAGGGGGTCACTTGATTGAGGCAGCCGTGTTAATCTGTATCAATTAATTCTGATTAAGTAGATGACATTCTAGGTACAACATGATAGAAAATAAATATTTTCCCTGTCCTTGAGGAAGGGAGCTTCTGTTACAACATGTAAAAATCTATCAACAGTCCTGCCAAGTCTTTCCCTGTGACCTCCATCAGCTCAACCAGTCATTCAAAAGCCAAGGCAGCTCAAAGACCTACCAAGATCAATTCAAGATTTTACTCCAAGTCACAATAATTATATGCAACTTCTTTAGTGAGAAAAGAACCAGAAATGACAATAAAATTAACATTTGCACACTGCTTTCCAGTCTCAAAGCTTTTTCACATGCATTCTCATTTAATCTTCAATCTATTCCATAAGAAAGATATTTATATTTCATAAGATGTGGAAACTAAGATTTAACAAAATGATGTGATTTTTTAAAAATCAGGCCTCTTTGCTGGATGAAGTGACTTCTTGAAGGTGACAAAATAGAAAGAAGTAAGCCAGGACTTGAATTCAGGCTCTCTGATTCGAAATCCTGTGCTTTCCACTATACTGGTTATATCAGGAAGGATCTGGAACAAGTGACAAGCTAGGACACTCAGACAACTAAAAAACAGCACAGAGGAAAGAAATGAGCCAAAAGCATTCAGAGTGCTACAGTATAGCTCTGATTGCAGGCTAAAGAAAACTATTCAAACTGCAGAGGTTGGTTTCAATGAGAGCCAAAACATCCAAGACAGTGTCAAAAGGGCATGGCAAAATCAGGCAAACAGGTTTAGTCAGAGGCTAAAATTACATTATAAATTGTAATTTCTATCCACGATCACAAAGATAACCATTTTCCTATATAATGTTCCAGGAAATCCCAAATGACAAACTGGATATGGTACAAGAGAATCCAAGCAGCGAGTCATAATGCAGAAGTCAAATGGAACTGCATGTACCATAGTTTCAACAGATCTATTCACAGCAGTGTATTGTAGTTCTGAGCAGTGTCCTGATCCCGGAAGGTAACTAGGGATGGATGCAGGGCAGGCTAACCTCATGAAAATCATGACAAACACCTCCACAGATGAAAAAACGCCACCTCTTTGCTTCCTGTTGGGGAGAAAAAGAGTTGATCTGTGCCTCTAGTGCCCCAACTTCTCCAGGGCTGCCAAAAGAACTTGCATATGTCTCACTACTCTTGAGGTTCCGATAGGTCTGGCAAAATCTAGCTGCTCAGGGGAGAATGGGAGACAGTGGCTTGAGCTGGTACATGCCATGGCTCCCCACTCTGGCTCAGCACAGAACAAGCAGACAAAAACCACAGCTTCCAGCTTCTTTCTGGGGAGAGAAAGAGGTGGTAGAGGCCCCAAG